GAGAGAGAGAGAGGGTGCGCAAGAAAAAGACATGCTAATTCGTAAATTGGAATATTTTCCAGTATTCGCGCGAACAATGACTTTGCTTTCCATTTGTTTGATCTTTTGTATTCCGGAGTTTCAAGTGTGATGAGTGAGAAAAAGCATGTCACTTATAATTTTTTTAATATAATAAATTTTAATATATATAGAAAGAAAGGGAAAATATGTAATAATACATCTTTATTAACCAATTACTTTCTGCATCATTCTTGATTAATCTTTAAGTGGACACTTATATGTCGCGTGACTGTAACATTTATCTCATTTTCTAACGTTCATTGTTTTACAAATTGACGACGACCTCGTTTCAACCTCTCGAACTTTGCCATCTTAAGTAAACGACGTGCGCATTCCGCCGACAATGGCGAGCAACAATGGGCGGTCGGATTAAAATGCAAATTAGTCCATAAGTCAGAACATTATATAATTGTTAGCTGTGTCGGCTGGCAGTTATTGTCATGGCAATAAACTTTCAAGATTTAAGGTGTCAGCGAGCGGTATACGCTTGTACTTAAAAGATTACATACGTACAGATCCCAGGTATTGTAAATGTTCCATCGGTCGCCTCTTTCGCAGATACTCTCAATCGGTTGAGTTGTATCTATTCTACAATCTGTGAAGAGCTTCAATCAATTAAAAATATGTTGTAAATCAATTGTTGACCAAAAGTTACAAGAAAAGTATAATAGTATTTATATATCTTCAGCTCATGCTTATTTTTATTTTTAAATAAATGTGCGATCTGCTTTAATTTTACAGAGCGAATATTTAAAGATAGCTAAGTAATCGGCAAGAATGGTTTAAACGTATTTCGCAGAAATACACGTTGGAAACTTTAAAATTTATTATTCTTTCCTTTTTCGAGTGCCAAGAGAAAAAACCTTAGGGCCACCTGTCTCATTCGACTCGCGCGGGTCCATTACTCTGCGTATTACCACCCACGAGTAATTAACATAAAAGCGATAACGTGAGAGCGCTGCGAAATACGACGACAGCCGACGCTTTTATAAAAGAAATCATTTATATTTAAAAAAAAGCAAATAGATGCGTTTGAAGAAACTTGCGAGAAATTCTCGCTAATAACAGTCAAACGTTTCATTTTTCATATAAGCCTTATTTGAATATATTTCTCGAAATACTAAAGTAATATATTAATTTCTTAATATAACTTGTTAAAAATACTTCTTTAATTGCACAGAAGTTTTTATAGCAACAAAGTTATATTATTTTACATAATTGAGAAAATGTACCATTATTTTATTATATTTTGGGGTCTAATAGGACTAAATTTTTTATATTAACTATTTTTTTATTTCAATTAAATTGTTTCATTTTGTACCGTTATCCTTTTTATTTTATTTTTTCGATTCCTTTATACATTCTTTCATTTCATCAAAAATACTCTTGATTTTCTTTATTGTTAGAATATTCTTTGTAGAAATTTAATTATTTTTTGCAAAGATCTAATTATTTTTTATAAAAAATTAAAACATTTACATTTCGTTTACAAGAGTTTTTTTTATTTATAAATTTGAACAGTATGTTAGTCTCATTTTTTAATATTTATTCAAAACAACCTACAACCGCGTATATTTAGTCGTATTTTTTTGTTTTTTTGTGAAATGATAATTTTGTATTAATATTATTTTACATAACTAAAAAACTAAAAAACATATATACAATTAAAGTAATGTAATTCTGTAATCAATTATGTGATTGAATACGTTATGTTGATGTTAAAATACGCGGAAATAATCAATAATAATGCTTTCACATCGTTACAGTAATTCCAATATATCTATACTAAATTACTTTCCGACGAGATCAAAGGTCAATGTTCAGACCGATGTTCCCGATATATTGGCAGTTATGTGCTCGCTATTTATAGTTCCCGAGTTAATCGTTACGACTATAATCGTTACGATATTTGCATATGTCAAGAGATGCGCTCTTGCTTAACATGTCATTATGCAGTAACAGTAAGACTGCTATGTAATTGTTTTTAGAGTTTTCATGAAAAAAATAAGTACACTTTTCATTCAAAATTATATACGATGATGTTGATATTATATGATATGATTTCATATAGAACAAGGTTTTCTATTACAGCACTGTAATAACAAATAGATGTCAGTGTAGTACAGTGTTTAATGAGCCTCAGTTTCGATTACACTTTGCAACTCAACAGACTTCGTATATTACGCATTATCTCATTTCTCTTAGATATCAAACATGCGACCGCTATACATCATTTTTGCATTGCGTATGTATATGTAAATAAAAGCTTATTTTAAAGTAAAACCGTAAATTAAATATTTTGTCAATTTTTTAACACACACATACACTCTCACGTACGAAGTGCTCTCAGCTATAATTATTGCATGTACGTAAGAATAATTGAATGGCAATTTTCATGACGTTCCCGTAAGAGGCAACTCGTGATGCTGTAATAATTACTGCATGTGCGCAGTGCCTATTTTCGTGATGGGTGTCGAGGATACAGCGTGCAATTGCGAGCACTGTGACGAGGAAAGAGTGATCGGTTTGGAAGAGGAGATGACTACTACTACTACTTCCATGTACAAAGAGGAGGACGATAATGATGGTAATCGGACAATTTGCGCTAGAAGTCGTGATTTTAACGATCGCACGTTTCCAAGCGTCTGTTACATGCTATGTTACAATCGTTGTACGAGATACCGAATGATGGCCGTTCAAGAGAATGACGTGAAGAAGTACATCATGATTGCATATAGACCGAGTGAGTATTTGTGTAACGAGAAATTATACTCTTTTAAAGTCTTTTCGTCTGTATATTTTATCTGAACATTTTGATAACTTTAATCTAGTTTTATATATACAGGGTGTCCAAAAAAATGGCTAAGCTGTCATATGCAAGTGAAGCGGACTAAACTGAGTCGAAAAGTCTTGTACTATTTTGCGATTTTTACAATAATTAACGAGTTATTAATTTATGAAAATAGTTGCAAGTGCACGGTGAGATAGGACTGCCCAGTAAGACACGCGTTCGCCATCGCTAGGCATACATGAAGTACGCTAGGCGCACGTAACGTATGTAGATGAAAACCGCTTGTGATCAACAACTCCACACGTGCCTAGCGACAGTGAACGCGTTCTTATTGGTCGGTTCTATCTCACTGCGCGCTTGCAATTTGATTATTTTCATAAATTAATAACTCGTTAACTGCAAATTGCAAAAATTGCAAAATAGTACAGGACTTTTCGACTCACAATCAGTTTAGTTCGCTCTACTTGCATATGGCTTGGCCCTCAATTTTTGTGGAATATCCTGTACACACACACACACACACACACACACACACACACTGTGCACGCGCGCGCGCGTGTGCGTGTGTATGTGTGATACAGGATGTCCGGCATCGGTCGTATTACCTCTCGTGTGTAGATAGAGCTGGTAAAACTGAATAAAAAATTCTTCTATTATTTTGCAATTT